CCTCCACGAATCAATGATTTCAAGCATTGGGTTCTACCTAGAATGGCCGACATGTCCCACTCCTAACGAACTGCAGGCAGGAGCAACTTGAGGAGCTCCTTGTCACAGTGTGAGACTACGAGGCACCTGGATTTCGAGCACCCGCCCGCCCAGAGCCTGCTCGCCGACGAGCACCTGGTCCTGTGGACGCTGTGCTCCGTGCTGCTGCCGGTGTTCATCACCTTCTGGTGCAGCCTCCAGCGGTCGCGCCGGCAGCTGCACCGCAGGGACATCTTCCGCAAGAGCAAGCACGGGTGGCGCGACACCGACCTGTTCAGCCAGCCCACCTACTGCTGCGTGTGCGCGCAGCACATCCTGCAGGGCGCCTTCTGCGACTGCTGCGGGCTCCGCGTGGACGAGGGCTGCCTCAAGAAGGCCGACAAGCGCTTCCAGTGCAAGGAGATCATGCTCAAAAGCGACACCAGGGCCCCGGACGCCATGCCCCACCACTGGATCCGCGGCAACGTGCCCCTGTGCAGCTACTGTGTGGTTTGCAAGCAACAGTGCGGCACGCAGCCCAAGCTCTGCGACTACAGGTGCGGCCTTTGTGGGGACTTGGGGTCCCAGAGTCCAGGGCGGGAGTCAGGACTGCAAAGGGCCGGGGTCGAGGCCCACCTTCAGCTCAGCAGATGGCCTCCGCTGCTCGCGTGCCGGCACCCCAGTGATAAGCAGAGGCGCGCTGCTGCTGGGGTCTTGGGCTGAGGGGACAGTCTGGCCTGCACTCCCCAGCCAGCCTGCCTCTGAGGTCCTAAAACCGCTTTTCACTTTCCCCCAGAGGTCCCTAAGTGCTGCCTGCTCTGGAGGCTCCTATTGCCATTCGTATTCAGTTTCCCTCCCCCGCCCCGTTTTACTAAGGGAAAATGAAGTATGGTCAAATGAGCTTTGCCTTTTGCCACAAAACTAATTCATCCTCGGTTTTGTACTATGAAAACAAGTGTTATTACAGTGCCGAACTTTTAAGTGTCATTTGCTAATACAGCTGTTGGTGCCTTAGTGAAACAAACACAAAGGGAACACGGGAAGGAATATTCCTTCTCTAGATGGCTTTTCAGGATGTGTAGCATCTTGGATAAGTGAATTTAGTTAAGCCGTTAGCGGCTTCTTCATGCCCTCTGGACAACACATTTCTATTGTAGATTTCTGGAATGGGTGATAGCATATCCTTCGCTCTTGTTAGAAATTGGTGGAAGGGGATCGTGCTTTACATATCATCTGGTCTTCACAGGTGAGAAAATTAAAGGTAAAGTAAAACTAGTTTATAGGATTTCTAGCACTCAGACTAGGATTAAGAATATATATCAACAGCTACTGTCTGAGCCTTAAGTCTACAGTCTTCATTATCGTAGGTTTTATTTCTGACAGATAGAAAGGCCCATGAACATATTTAAAAACTGAACTAAAAAACTGGGACTAGATAGGAAGTTACTTTTTTATTTTCTACCAGAAAATCTTTTACATTAGCATGAGCACTGTTATGTCAATATGTTGTTTTTAATTTTATTTTAAATTGTTTTATGCATTATCAGATTTAGACTTAAGAATAAATTTGCAAAATGATACATTTTGGGCAGCTACAGTTTTGTGTCTGTTCATTTTTGATACCTTTAAAATTTGGTTGTTCTGTCTGTCCTCCTGTCTCTTGCCTTTATCACTGAGTGCCAAGTTGCCAGTGACTAAATAAATTTCAGAATTCAGTATTGTTCTATTTCCTTCCCTTCTCTGTGTACAAAATTAGATAAAAATGGCTTCCATAAATAACTGTGTTTCAGATTCTCTTTAACATAATCAGTGCTTCTGATCATCTAACCAAGTGATCCTTCTAAAATTGCAACTCTAATCGAAGCCCTTTAATTTGCTCCCGATCCTTTATATTGATAGATTAATGGTCTCAGCATGAACTCCAGAGGCTTTTTGTTTTGTTTTGTGTTTTTAGTTTTTTTGGGTTTTTTTTTTTCAGCTTTGAGTTTATTGGTACATTTTAGGGATACAGTACAGTTACATTCATTGTTGGGATCGTCTACCTCTACATGACAAGTCTTGATTCTCATTTTTTCCCCTTACCCCTGCCCTCCCTTCACCCCCTCCTCCCCTCCCCACCTACAAACACTTTATTTCCATCTTTTCATTATCTCACATTTTTTTCTTTTCCCTTATTACCCTTCCCCTACCCTTCCCACCTTCCCTACACCTTTAGCTCCTTTCTTCCCATTTCTAAATGTCAGTAATCTTATTAGGATCTTATGTATTATTGCAGATTATTCACACCAGGGAAACTGTTCAGTATGTTTGAGACGGGGTCTCACTGTGTAGCTCACATTGACCTTAAATTCACTGTGTCTCTTAGGCTGGCCTCGATCTTCCTGCCTCAGCCTCCCAAATGTTGGGATTATAGGTGTGTGCCACCACACTTAGCTGTTTTAGCCAATAGTTTTGTGCAGGATTAGAGCCTGTGACCTTCTGTGGGAATGAGATATTTTGGAAGGAGAAAGAAAATACTACTTAGAGTTTTTATTTGTTGTTATCTTTTTAAATTTTTATTAGTACATGTTTATACTACATAATGATTACATTCATTGTGGGGAGTTGGTACATGTACATAATGTATCTTAATTTTTTATCACTTTGGCCTCTCCTCTCTCCCGCCTTCCGCCATCTCTTTCCTATTTTCAAAAGACCCAACTCCCTATTCCTAAAACCTATTATTTATTTTGCTCTTTAATTTATTTATACCTTGGATTTTTCATGTAAGAGAAGCCATGTGATATTTAAGTTTGTGTGTCTGATTTATTTCACTTAACATTATGGTCTCACGGTGCATCCATTTCCCTACAGGTCTCAAATTTAACTTTCTGACTACGTAGTTCAGGCTGGCCTTGAATTCACTGTGTAGCCCTGGAGCTCATGGCAATCCTGCCTCAGCCTTCCAAGTGCTGCTGGGATTATAGGCATGTACCACCCTACCTGGCTCAAATTTAACCTCCTTTAAGGCAAAATCGTACTTCCTTGTATATAAAGCCACTTTTTATCCATTCATCCACTGATGGGCATATAGGTCACTACCAGGGTTTAGCTATTAAGAGTTGTGAGGGCCAGGGATATAGCTCAGTGGTGCAGCACCTGCATCACAAGCACCAGGTCCTGAGTTTGAGTTTGATCCTCAGTACCAGAAAATAAAAGTGCAGTCACCCTTCCAAAAGCCCCACCTCTGAGCATCAGAAGCTTTAGGGAGAAATACAGATATAAACTATAACACCGTATGTAGATGAATGTCCAGGTGTGGTAGTGTATGCCTGTAATCCCAGCACTTGGGAGGCTGAGGCAAGAAGATCGCCACAAATTCAACCCCAATTTGGGATACATAGTGAGATCAGCCAGAACCACATAGTGAGACCCTGTAAAATATAATAGCTGTATTCCAGTGGATTCATTCTGTTGGGGTTCATGGAGTTGTAATCCTGGTTATTTCTTTCTAGAATGTCCTGCAGAGCATTTTGGAGTACTGGTTCATGAATTTCCTCAGGTGTTCATTTTCATGGAAGTATCTTATTTCTCCATCAATTTTGAAGACAGTTTTGCAGGGTAGATCAGTCTGGGTTGGAGGTTGTTTTCCTTTAGGGCTTGAAATACTTTACTTCAAACTCTGCTTGACTTGAGGGTTTGTGTTGAGAAGTCTGCTGTAATTCTGGACTTTCCTTTATAGATTATTTGTTTCTTTTTTCTAACAGCTTTTGGGGGGGTTGTTTTTTGTTTGTTTGTTGTTGTTTTGGTACTGGGGATTGAACTCAGGACCTTGTACTTGCCAGGCAGGCACAGCGTCACTGAGCTATGTCCCCAGCCTTCTAACAGCTTTTACTATTCTGCTCTTGTGTTGAATTTATGGAATCTTGACTGTTACATTCCTTGGTTAAGACTTTTTTGTATCATGGCTAATTGGAGTTCTATATGCCTCACTTATCTATATGTCAGATTCTTTTTCTCTGCTTGGGAAGTTTTCTGCCATTACTTTTTGTTCAGTTGGTTTGATTTTGGTTTTGGTACCGAGGATCAAACTCGGGACCTTACACTTGTGAAGCAAGCAACAGAACCACTGAGCTAAATCCCTGGCCCTGTCATTACTTTTGTGAACAGGTTTTTAATGTCACTTGTACTATCTCCTGCTTTTTCATTGATTCTGATCAATCTTATGTTATTCTTCTTTGCATCATCTAGCAGCTGCTGAAATGATGTCTCATGTCCCTTGCTATTTTTAAGAAATCATTCTTCTCATGGTCACTAACCACAATCCTGTCTTCTATGTCGGATATTCTGTCCTTGCATTGGCCCATTCCACTGCATACACTTTCATTGGAATTTTTTAATCTCATGGATATCTGTTTGAATCTGTTTTATGGATGACATTTCTATTTTTTATCTGTATCTGATTTAGAGTCACTGTGTTTCTTTCATTCTGGCCACCATCTCTGTAGTTATCTGAAGAAATATTTCTGCTTTGAATTTTTCTGGAGCCTCACTCATTTGCCTTGTTACTTCCACTGTTATCATTTCAGAGAGTCCAAGAGGGTTGGTTTCAATTGTTCCACCTCATTGCCCACTGGATTTGCCTTTGGAGAGTTGAAAGTCTGGGGGATCTTTTCTAAGTGTCTTCTCCTGTTTTTCTTTCTTTCTTCTGTTTTGTTTTGTTTAATTCCTGGGTTGATGATTGTAGATTGCTTATGGTGACTAGCTTTATTGCCAGTATTCAGAACACTTAGGAAATGACTTCTCAGAGGTGTCTTCCAGGTATAGCTGGCTTATGGATTTTGAGCCTGTTGTAAGATCCTACTTCTTGCTGGGCATAGTAGCTCACAAGTATAATCCCAGACTCAAGAGGCTGAGGCAGGAGAATCACTTGGAGTTCAAATCCAGCTTGGGCTGCAAAGTGAGTTCAAGACCATCCTGAACTATATAGTGAGATCCAGACCCTGCAGTCCAATGCATCCACTGCTCTGTTCCACCGGTGCATTTCTCAGTGGAGGCCTCTGGGGTCACCAGTAGTCACCATGCATCTGCAGGTGCAACTTGCTTTTGTCATGCCATGAGTCCAGACCCTGGGACAAAGTGCCACCTGCCACCTCCCGCTTTTTCATTGAAATCCCTCTCTTGGCTCTCCCTGTGGACTTCAATTCTCACTTCAGAGCCCTCCTGGGTGCTGGGGACCCACTTCCCTCCTTCTCCTCCTCACACCACTATATTCCAATTTCTGGACACCAAATGCCAGAGGGGTTCTTTGTCTGCTGCTCACCACTCTGCCATCTTCCCAGAAGTCATAGCTGTATTCCAGCAAACTTTATTCACAAGATCAGTCTGTCAAACCCTGTTCTAGTGTGATTCTCATAAATGACCATGTCAAATTCATATTGATTCAGCTAACTCCTTCAGCATAGAAAAACAACCATTGCAACTAAGCAATTTTTTAGGGAAAATAATAAGCATTGCTGCTAATTTTTTTGGTTTGGTTTTTTTTTTTTCTTCCACAAACTATTTTTAAAAACTAAAGCAGAAGCCAGTGGTAGTACACGTCTGTAATCCCAGCATTTGGGAGGCTGAGACAGGAGGATCACCACGAGTTTTAGGCCACCCTGGGCTACGTAGTGAGTTCAAGGCCCCTGAACTTTCCTAAACTACATGGCAAGACCCAGTCTCAAAAATAAAAAAAATTTTTTTAAAGACTAAAGCAGATCCAGGCACCATAGTGCACACCTGTAGTCACAGCTACTTGAGAGAATGAGGTTAGGAGGGTCATTTGAGCTGAAATTACAGCCATGTGCCACTGTGCCTAGCTATGTTCTATGACTTGGTAAGGGTTTTAGTTACATGAATCTGTCACATTTTAGCAAATGTGTATATTGTACATTGTATATAATTTAACATCAAATTATCAAACAACGATAAGCCTTCTTGTGAAATTTAAGGAGAGTATTTTCTTGGGACTGTACCAGAAATGAGATGGATCAATGAATGCATAGAAATGTGACAAAGCAATTACAGTAAGATGTTAATGCTAGACTGGAGGTAGTAGACACACCAGTGTTCACTGGAAAAAATTTTTAAATAATACATTTTTAAAAACAGGCTGTCCTTGAGTTTAAGAAATGCTTGCCAAAATGTTGAAAGATAGATTCAGTGTCTGTTGTTTACTCTCAAATGATTGGGCAGTGTATGACTTTATATTAAAATACAGAAAGCAAATTGTAGGAGAACATCTTAAGAACCAGGCTAAATAGGGAGAGGTGGAGGGACTGAAGGGAGAGCAGAGGAATGGGGAAAAAATCAGAACCAAGGTTTATTATGTAAAGGTACAAATTTCCCATGATGCATGTCATTATATTGTATACCTAAAATGTACCAATAAAATTAATTTTAAAAAGAACCAGGCTGATGGGCTACATAGTGAGTTCCAGGTCAGTCTCAACTACATAGTGAGAACCTGTCTCAAAAAACAAACAAACAAAAAAAATGAGCCAGGCTGAGCGTGTAGCCCAGTAGTAAGTGTTGACCCAGATTGCCTGAGGACTGGGTTAGATCCCCAGCACCTCACAAAGAAAGGGGGAAAAGGATGAGTGAAGGGTGAGTTTAAAGGTATTCTTTTTACTATCCTTTTGACTTTTCTGGAAGCTTGAAGTTTTCAAAATAAAAAAAGATTTTTAAAAGGCAACAAGCAATCACCTAGTAACATGATGCTAAAACTATATTTTCCCGTTGGCTTTGAAATCCAACCGAAATTAGCCAGGCATGGTGGCACATGCCTGTAATCAGCGCTGGAGAGGCTGAGGCAGGAAGATAGCTGAGAGTTCAAGGCCAGCCAAGGCTACATAGTACGTTCAAGACCCAGCTTGAACTACAAAGCAAGACCCTGTCTGAAAAATGAAAAAAAAGAAAGACAAAAAGAAATCTAGGCAAAACTGATACCAATTATAAGACAAGTGAAGTGAAGAGACTGGTATTAGGATTGAAAATGGTACTAGTAAACATTTCGTCATTACCTTTACAGAACAGAGGCTTTCATGAGACCCCATCATTGCCTAGGCTTGTGCTAGGAGGGTAAAGACAGATTTTACCTTTTTCTGGAGACTAGCTTTTCATACAAGGCAGCACCTTCTGAAGAGGAAACCAGGGGACTCTTCAGAATGTGTCCCCTACTGATGCGGGACTGTGGAGTTGTCACGTGCGGGATCTGGTTATCTGTGCAGTGTTGTGAATACCAGAAGTTAAGCAGATCATATTTCTAGGCCTACCCAGCTTCAAAGTCGATGGGATGATTTAACCCTTCCCTCCCACAAACGAGTAAATATATTGGTGATTTGAGAAAAAAATGTACATGATGAGCTATTTTTCAATTAATGGTAGGCTAATATATGGAGGCCTCATGCTTGGCATATAACCATCTATTATTGTCCTTTCTCTAGTCAGTTTGAAAGCAAGAATCAGCAAACATTGCTGTGCAGGATCCACTGCAATTTTCTCTGAATACATTATACGTGTAACTGGTTTTAGTAGTGAACAGGTCTGAGTAAAGAACAGTAAGTACTTGTCAAATCTGAGTATCAGAAAGGAAAAAACACTCTTCAAAAGAAAGCCAAGAGGTCCAGGGATTTGGCTCAGTGGTACCTCGCAAGTGCAAGTTCCTGAGTTCGATTCCTGGTAACAAAATAAAGAAAAAGAAAAAGCCAAGAGAGTTGACATCCAGATGAAAAAGTGTTTACCGTTTTGTTTTGTTTTGCAGTACTGGAGATTGACCCAAGAGTCTTTGTCCTGTGCTACCTCTCCACCCCTTTTTTTATTATTTATCTTGAGACAGGGTCTTGCTAAATTGCTTTGGCTGGATCAGAATTTGCAGTCCTCCTGTCTCAGCCTCCCAGATTGCCGGGATTATAGGTGTGGTGGTGCACACATTATAAATAAGAGCTAAAGTTGTTAAAATATTTCTTCTTTTTAAAACAATGTGTTTATGAAAATATAGAGAGAAGAATGATATTGTTGCACTTTTTTGCACATTTCTTTGGCCAAGAAGGCAGCTACATTGACCTGTCTGCTTGTATATTCAGTCTTTTGTGGTAGTACATGTCATCTACCTTCCAGAAAACTTCCTGAACACTTTTGAGAGAATAAGGATGAAATGGTTTGAAACCTCACAGATACCCTGAAAGGATCTCAGGGCGCCAGACCACACTTTAAGCACCAGTATTGAACTGCCAAATACTTTGAAACCTTACAGCTCTGTTTTCCCTATCAAATATAGATGCATGTCTTTGTCATAATTTATACTCAACACATGACGTTACTATTGCAGTTTTTGACAGATAACTATGGGTCAGTAAGATTGTGGTTTAAAATTAATGGATTTCTGTTTCTTCTCTCAGGTGCATTTGGTGTCAGAAAACAGCACATGATGAGTGCATGAAAAATAGCTTAAAGAATGAGAAGTGTGATTTTGGAGAATTTCAAAACCTCATCATTCCACCAAGTTACATAACTTCCATTAACCAGATGCGTAAAAACAAAAAAACAGATTATGAAGTGGTAATTAGAGTTTATTTTTCTTATATGATTGGTTTTTTAAAAGTTGTTTAAGTCATTATGTGAGCTCATTATCATATATGTAAGAAAAATCAGGACCAGAAAGAAATTTTAAAAGAAGATTAACACCAAGGGGAGATATAAAATGTCATTATGGTAAGCCGTGAAGTCCTACCCAGTTCCTAGAGCTGTGTTACAGATTTTGTTTCTTGAGTTCTCTCATGCGTAGAGGGAAATCAGAAGTGTTCTAGTGGTTTCTCAGCCACTGCCTGCATCTCAATCAGTTGCAGAGCTTTTTAAACAAATTCCTGAGTCCATCTTCATGGCTGTGTTTGATTTAATGTCTCGGGTAGGTCAAGGAATCCATATATGTTTTTTAAGGTCCTCGGGTGATTTGGAATGACAGCCAGGTTTGCAATTCTTTATTGTTGTCAGTGAAAAGAAAACAGATTTTCCTCATACCATGTGTTAAGATAAGTTTTTCATGTGGAACTTTGTGAATTGTCTCTAGAGAGAAGCTCACGTAGCACGTTAGGGACTTGCATAAATAATACCAGACACTGAGGTTCTTGACAGCGTTTGCAGTATGGACATATGTAGGAAAATTGGTATAAATATATCTCCCGGGCTTTAGCCAGTTCTTAAGGAACAGTTATAAAGATTTAACAGGTGTATCCAGGTGTGGCGGTGTATGTCTGTATTCCCAGCACCCTGGGAGGCTAAGGCACGAGGATCAGCTCCTACCTACCGTGGGACTTTGTGAGTTCCAAGGGCTGAGGGCGAAGCTCAGTATGAATGCCCTAGGTTCAATCCCCAGCATTGAGCCCAAGAAGAAAAAATTTTTACAGATTTATTTTATACTTGAGTATGCCAAAATAATTGAACTATTTTATTTTACAATTAAATTGAAATTTTTTTCAAGTTAAGCATTTCTATCTTCAGTGTTGTCTTTATTGCTATTTCTGCAAAGAAAAGATAAACTTTAAATTTTGGTTTGGGGGGTTTGAGAGAGAGAGAAAGAAAGAAATTGACTCAGTATGTAGTCCAGGCTGCCCTGGAACTCCCAGCAATCTTCCTGCCTCAGCCTCCAATACTAGAATTACAGCTACGCATCACTATGCATCACCTTGACAAGTGCACTTTAAAAAAAAAATGGAGGAATGGAGTTTGAATCAAGAGTTTTCACTATGTAGTTCAGGCTGGCCTTGATTCACTGTGTAGCCCAGGTTGCCCTCAAACTCTTGGCAGTCCTGCCTTGGCTTCCCAAGTGCTGGGATTTAAACTTTGATGTGATACTTTCTTTTTTAATATACAACCCTATATCTCAATTCAGTGTGAAAGCATAATCCCAGTACTCAGGAGGCTGAGGCAGGAGGATTACTATAAGTTCAAGGCTAGCCTGGGCTACGTAATGAGACCCTCCCTCCAAAACAAAAGTATCCTATTATGTATGTTCCAACATGCCAAAGTCTGAAACACTCTGGCTCCATCATTTCAGATAGGGGATCTCAACCTATGAAGCTTCGAGTGTTTGAACCCTACAGTTATGTGGGAAAATAAATGATTTGTGGTTGCGATAGAACCAGAATTAGAACAGTGAGTGACAGTTACTGAGAGACAGATTTTCAGCTCAAGTCAGAACTTCCTGCTGATGTGACCTTAGCAGTGGAATGGGCAGTCTTAGCTCCCTTCTCATGTGAGCATCCAAGCATACGCTGGATGGCTTAACTAGAGTGAGGCCGAAGAGCGTCCTACATTCAGTGGAAGTTTAATCTCTAAGTTCCTCTTCTATTCTTGGAATTGCTTGATTTTCATGCTGTATTGATAATACTGGCACAGTTCTTATTTCAGTAAATTATAGGGTGATTGTTACCAAAGGATAAAAATATATTGTGTTTGTTATATCTGAAATCCTCACCCCTTTTCATTTGTGTTAATTTTTTAAGCTAGCATCCAAATTTGGAAAGCAGTGGACCCCATTAATAGTCCTGGCCAACTCTCGTAGTGGAACTAACATGGGAGAAGGACTATTGGGAGAATTTAGGATCCTGTTAAATCCAGTCCAGGTAACGAAAGAGAAAATCTTCTTTTATTAATCTTCATTTTTAGCTCTTCTTTCCTTAAAATGCAGTGGTTATTAGTGCTTCAAGTCACTAATCACTTAGTTATGGGAAAGAATAATAATTTTAAAAGGATTAAACTATTCAAATATGTGGAAAAACAGAAACTAGGGCCAGAGATTTAGCTCAGTGGTTCTGCCACCTGCCTTGCAAGCACAAGGTCCCGAGTTCAATCCCCAGTACTAAAAAAAAAAAAGAAAAAAGAAAGAAACCAAATCACCTAGGAATCCCACTTCCAGGAATCTTCCTGAGGAAAATGAAAACACATCGCACTTGCATGCACATGTTCATAGCATTTTTCATAGTAGCCTGCAAGTAGCAATGGCTGACTGTAAGTGGATAAAGAAGATACCCACACAGTGGAATACTGCTCAGTGACATAAAGTAACAAACTACGTACAGTATTATAGTAAGTGAACTTCAGAGAACATTATCCTGAGTGCAAGAAGACAGGCTCAAGTGACCACTGATGCATGGTTCAATCTAAGCGACCACCCAGAAGAGGCGTATCCATAGAGACGGTAGATTGCCTGAGGCTGGGGCTGAACACGCAGAATGACTGCAAAGCCTTATGGAAGGATCTTACCAGAGCAGCAGAAACTTACCTGGCACTTACCTGTAATCCCAGCACTCTGGAGACTTAGGCAGGAGGATCCCTGTGAGTTCAAGACCAGTCTGGGCTACAGAGTGAGTTCCAGGTCGGTCTCAACTATGTAGTGAGACCCTGTCTCAAAAATAAATAAATAAAAGTACTCTACTGCCAGGCGTGGTGGCGCACACCTATAATACCAGCACTCGGGAGGCTGAGGCAGGAGGATCGCTGTGAGTTCAACACCAGCATGGGCAATAGAGTGAGTTCCAAGTTAGTTTCAACTACATAGTGAGACCCTGTCTCAAAAAACCAAAAAAAAAAAAAAAAAAAAAAGTACTCTACCATTGGGGATTTAGCTTAGTGGTTCCCACTGCCTGCCTTGCAAGCACAATGACCAGAGTTTGATTCCTGGCACCAAAAAAAAAAATCAAAAGTGCTCTACCAACAGGCTGGGGATTTAGCTCAGTGGTGCCACCACCTGCCTCACAGGGTCCTGAGTTTGATCCCCGGTACCAAAAAAAATGCTCTAACAACTATCTAGATACAGAGATACAAATGTGCATGCTGTTTCCTTAATGGTATAAAGATTTTCCCCATTGCAACAAAGTCTTAATAATTACATGTCTTATGACTAAAACAATTGAAAGCATATATCATAATTTATCCAGTTTACTATTATAAGTAACACCAAGTCTGTGTTGCCCAGACAGGGCTTGAATTTGAGATCCTCCTACCTCAGCTTCCCAGAATGCTGTATTTATAGGTGTGTGCTACCACACTCAGCTATTTTTGTCTCTTGAAATTATTTTCCTAGGCCTGGCAAAATGGTACACAACAGTAATCCCAGCACTTAGGAGGCTGAGGCAGTAGACTCACCACAAGTTCATAGCAAACCTGGGCAACATAGTGAGTTGAACTATATAGCAAGACCCTGTCTCGAAAAAAAAAAAAAAAAGAAAGAATATTTTTCTTGAGTCATTTATGGAT